ATTCAGCATAATGCCCAACTGCATTTAGCATGTTTGGCCTGCATTTATCATTTCTATAGATTTTTTTAAATAAAAAAATATAAATGTTTATTTTATTATTATTTTTTATACATATCCTCTTTTGTATTTTTGTATTTTTTAATTTTTTACCTTTTTTAATTTTTTTTAATTTTTTACTTTTTTAATTTTTTTTATTTTTTATTTAATTTTTAATTTTTAATTTTTTAATTTTTTTTATTTATTTTGATAAATTTACTGTACTGAAATTGACTATACATGACTCTAGTATTCACCTAACTATAGTTTAGGACAGTCGAGTATAGTTAAATCTAATCGTGTTATGTCTTTTTACCCCAAAATTAATCTACACCAACAACAAAATTCACAATCACGTGAATATAATCATAAAAGCATGAACACGCATTACTATACATTAAAAAATGCATAGCATACATATAACTATATGTTACTACACATGACTATAGTTATCTCTAGTTATATAAGTGCCATAAGTTTGGAGTACTATAGCATGAATGCAATTTCACATGGCACTTCTCTGCGCCTTATTCTTAGCATCTCATAATATTATACAAAGCAAAACCTGTGACAAAAAAATACAAGTTAAAGAGCAAAATGGAACATGCGAGTTAGATTATATGAAAAATACAAAAAAAAAAAAAAACATGAATTTTTTTTTGTTGATAAATTTACTGTACTGTAATCGACTACAAATGATTATAGTATACAAAGAATAAAGACATATGATATATAACTAAAATGAACAAAATACGAATCAAACAAAATAAAAAATTAAATTAATCCAAAGATTTTTTTTTAATATTAATTGCTCACATATCTTAAAAAACATAGTAAATTTCACCTCAAAATCTACAAATGCAACTGGCATTCCACCTCTAGCACGAATCTTGGGTATCTGAAACTACCCGAACGACGAGAATTTATGGTATGAATAATGAGAGCATAGATCGCAGTTATTTCCACAGAGGCGGTGGGAGGAGCAGCGACCGACGGCGCAAGGCGGCGGCTAAGCATAGGCGAATGGCGGTGGTGGAGAAGCGGCGAACGTCGGTGGTGGAGCAGCGGTGGCTGAGTAGCGGAGCAAAGCGGTGGCTGAGCAGCGGCGCAGGGCGAACGGCAGTGGCGGAGCAGCGTCAAACTTCTACCTTAACTGAGGTAATAAAAATATACAACCATATGACATAAAAACCATAAAATTAAATTAATAAATATGGCTTATGGATGGAAAAATATCATCAATACATATAGCAAAACAACAACATGAATTGAAACTTCAATTTTGTCGATTAAATTGATCTCTACTTTAGTATTAATTTTACTTCAATCCCGTGCATCGCACGGGCCAAAAATCTAGTATTTATAATATGGAGAACCCAAGTGTTATTTTTTTACCTAGGCCCGCTAAAGTATAGGATGAAGATAGTTTTTTAATATTTTCACGTGTCTTATATTAGGGTTACGTGTGTGTCAGTAATATTAGGGTTATATTTTATTTTATCTTGTGCCAAAAACGAACAAGGCAAAATGATGAAGACTGTGTTGATGGTTTCTTTGGCCTCTCCGTTGCTTTATGGTGTAGGTTCGTTTTTAACAAGATCAAAATCCGTCGCAAGATCGATTTGGTTCGACTACTTCAACTTCAAGCCGCCGCAAAACCCCGTTTCATGTTCAACCGATGGCCACGGTCCGTAATTTTACTTCTTTGTTTATAGGAATCCATTCTTTTTTTACTCATTTGTTTCTTTTCTTTTCCAGAATTTATTATCTTGGAAACGAGAGATGCTCCACCTGCACACTTCCTCACCAAAATTGAATCTTTTTCCTTACTTTCTGAGTATCGTGTTTCAAAATACGAATCAAAAGTATTTGAAGTTGATGGTTACAAATGGTACCTTAGCTAGCTAAACAAACATAATAGTAATTATGTAGCTAGTTAATTATTGAATAATGAAACTTTTAATTTCAACACAACTAACATATGATTCGTGTTGAATTTCTTTAGGAGACTCGTAATTTATCCTAATGGGGGTGAGGGTCAAATTAAGGGCAACAATGTTTCCGTATACTTAGCCATGGCTGACACTAGTTCGTTGCCCGTAGATTGGGAGTTATATGCCGACTTCACCATCTTTCTCTATGATCAGTTTTCAGACAATTATTTATGTTTTAGAGGTAATTACTATGGACCTACACAAATGTTGTTTTCTTCTAATTAAAAGTAATTACACAGTTTCTTATTGTTGTTTTTAATCTTGTTGGCCAGGAAATGTGAGGCGGTTTCACGCAACTAAATCCAAATGGGGATTTCCCAAATTTATGTCTAAGAAAAGTTTGAGAGATCAATCAAGCGGATACCTTGTTAAGGATAACATTGTGCTTGGAGCTGAAGTTTTTGTCATGAAAAAACAACGAATCGTTGAGAGTGTGACTGTGCTTAAACCGATGTATACGAGATTACGTGATTGGAAGATTGTTGAATTCTCTAAATTGGAAGGTGTTTGGGTTTCTGAAGAATTCAACATGAGAGATGTTGAATGGTACTTTCTCTTCCATTCCATTGTTTTATCTAGCTACTTCTCTCTCAATTCGATTAAAAAAATTATTATTTCGTAAAACCGTAGGAAGTTGAAGCTATATCCAAATGGAGATTTGGATTCAAATGGAGATTTGAGTTCAAAGGGCAATGCCGTGTCGATGAGTTTGGTATGTGTTAGCGCTGAAAAATTTACGGTTCATCAAAAAGTCAAGGCAGAGTTTCACATGCGCCTAAAAGGCAGATTCGACCACGACTCTGGAAAACGTAAGTTATAAGTCTTGGATTTTTGTTAACCTAGTAATTTGTTGGTATAAGAATTGACATATTAACTAGTAAAGAAATTACTACTAGTCTTATAAGTTCAAAAGTTGTTGTAAGATTCTTCTTTTAGTTTCGTTTACGTTTTCCGTTAAGTCAAACGGATGGAAGCCAACTTTTATTGTTTAAATAAATATGTTGAAATTCACTATTTTGCTCATAATTTTTCCGTGCTGCAGTTTCACATTGGTTTACATATTCGAGTACATGTTGTGGACAAAGTGCATTCATAAGTCTTGCTAAACTGCGGGATCCGGAAAATGGCTTCCTTGTCGATGATTGTTGCAACGTACAGGTAGAGATTTTTGTTCAACTTATCGCATAGTAAGCGACTAAAGTATTTATTTTATTGGAAAACCTTGAATAGGTAATTTAGTTATAAATTTGAGCTTGGATGCTTGAATGCATTTTATTTTCATTATTTATAATTTATATGAATCTTTGGCTTCATTTGCTGGATTTCTTATAATTTATATGAATCTTTGGCTTCATTTTACCATAATTATATGCACCCCTAGATATTGTAGATTTCTTATATTAACACCCTTAGATATATGGAATTTACAAACTGTAGGGGAGCTAGATGTAATATCTCAAAATTAAGGGATCTTTTGTAATTACACTTTACCTCACGGAGGTAGTTGTAATTTATCCATGATAATAAGCAGTTAGGATGAAAGCCCATGGTATATTTATAAGGCAATTTGTTACAATGAACTTAAATATCAACAAGTTTGTATTTTCTTGCATACTGTATACAGTTAAAGATTTATTTAGTCCCTTTTAGCTTTTTCGTCCCTTCTATGAACTAATCATCTCTATTCTATGCTTGCTTTATCTGCTGAAAATTTCATATCAGAAATTAAATCATATTCCTATTTGATTTTGTATATAAATATATAATGCATTTCATTTTATTTCATTGTTATTCCCAATGGTGGAAATCATAATGAAATTTCTGATTATCTTTCATTCCAGTTCGAAAATTTACACATTTGAAATAGTACTTTTCATTCCAAATAATACCATGTATGTGAAAATTGGAGAACAATTGTGCACAACTATTGATGGGAAGTGTTCATATTGTGATCATGTGTTATATAGGGGTACTTCAAAAGAATTTAATTGCGATCATAATTCGTTTTTATTTATTTATTTATTTTTTAACTATTGTTTGAAGAACCGATTGAGGTTTTACTGTACTTGTTGGTATTGATTCGATTGTATCTAACAGATTTAATATAATATATATATATATATATATATATATATATATATATATATATATATATATATAGTTTTTGAATTATTTTCATATTTAATTGTTAGTATTTAGATATGGTATGAGTTTCAGATACAGAAAAAGAGGTTACAAAACTTGCTTTATATTTCATCAAACTCAAAGGAGAAAAGGAATATATGGTATGTGAGAAATATTGACAATTGATTCACATGAAGTATTTTCGTTTGACCTTCGATTGTTTATTCAGAAGCTTTCTTCTTCGAATATATATCCTGGAAAAAAAAAAAAACTCACGAAGTATTATGTGATGATGCAATGGCATTGCTGAAGACGCCCGATTCCCACAAACTTTGGATAATGACCTATATGAGAGAATGCAAAAAAGTTCAAAAAATTCGTGTATAAATTTAGCCAGATCCATTTTCTTGCCTTATATAGTAGAGTAATTTATCCGACATTTGCACATACCATTGGTGTATAAATTCGTGTAAAGACTCCTGCCTTAAACAGTTTCGTGTTCAGCTCCTTATCTGTCCAGACTACGTGCTTATGGTACCTGCGGAAGAGGGTTGCAATTGGGCGCAGGCGCTAATTGTTTATCTTCGTAGATATTAGAATATAACTCTTATATTTGGATTACGAAAAAAAAAAAAAGATGATACCATTGGAGCATTTCTTCCTCTGTTGTTCCCGATGAAGCAATCACGAAAGCCTGCAGTTTATGTCAACAAATTATTTCCTGGGGAAAAAAATGAATATTATGATAATTATTTAGGGTAATAGCATTAAACCGCATAAACTTTGCCCCTTTTTGTGCTTTTTTTTTTATCTCATTTTCAGGCCAAAATGGCCGGAATTAGACACACATGCGATTTGGAAGGGCTTTTTCGTTTTTTTCAAAATCAAAATCCCTAATCCCTTCAATTCCTCCAATTTTCCCGCAATTTCTCTTCTTCATCTTCTTCCTCCTCCTCGCCATATTCAACAACTGCAAGCTACCGAAATCCCCCAAAGAAGACGGAATTTCCAAAATCAAAACCTTGTTCAACGAGTTCTCATTCGACTAACCAAACGCATTACCAATAATACCCCTGTTAATCCATTGTCCGAAAACAGAACAGATTGGCCATCAGTAAATTATGACTAATATTAAATGACAGAAGATCTGTACAATTGCTCATGGACTCAGGCAAGCTTCCATCTGGAACTGGCCGCTAGGCTATTTTCCGAAAGATCGAGAGATTCTCAAGGCTTCATTTTCCCAATCCATTCAGCCACATCGCCCACAAAACTGTTGTTGCCTAAAACCAAATTATCACACAAGGATAGCTTCTGAAATGTGCTTCGAAGCCTTCCACAAAATGAGGAATTAAGGATTTTGATTTCAAAATGACAAAAAGGCCCTTCCGAATCGCATGTGTGTCTAATTCCGGCCATTTTGGCCTGAAAATGAGAAAATGGGCAACGTGGCACAACTTATAAAGTTCGGGTGGGATCGGGTTCTTTTTTTTTTTTGTTGAGGTGGTAATCTACAAAAAAGGGCAAAGTTTAAGTGACTTAACGCTATTTACCCTAAATTTAATTCTGTTTTTTTCGAAATGGGGAAACAAAACATAGAGGTATAAAAGAAAAGCTTCACAACGAAGATCGAAAAAAGGAATTTCTCTAAATTTAATGGGTTTTCGAGAAACTCACAATCCGATCAAAGTCTAACATGAAGCATCTTTCGATATCTTCTCTTGTTAGCTTACAACGACACCTGTCGCGCCTCGAAGTCAGGTCCGAGAACTTCGTATAGGTATAGTGCAAAACCGCAGCATCTTCGGATATGATCTCACTACAAAAGAAAACAAGAATACATATATATATATATATATATATATATATATATATATATATATATATATATATATATATATATACACGAGTGTAAAATAGTGATATATACTTGGGAATCTTCATATAATAATGCCATCTGTGAGCACCGTTTGGGCGTAAATGAGCTTGAATACGAGCAGCCGATTTCCCATTTCCATAAGCTATAAAATAGGAGGGGTTACCCTTACACACTTCCTTGTGATAGATGAAATAAGTCTCAGCTGAAAGATGTTGAAGATTCTTCTTGAACATTGTCACCTTAAAAACAACATGAAATTAATTTGATTTTTTTTTCCGATGAGAAGTCAATTTGATCGATCACATTCAAAGAAAGTACCTCGCTGAATGGTTCTTTAATGTCATCTCTCTCTACAGCACTCGCCTGAGGAAACCGTAATCGGTTGTCATTCATTAAACAGGTAAATCATTAGTTACTCTTGTGCAAATAAATAAAAAATAACGACCACGATTATAGTGATAGGTACTAACGTAATTTGGAAAAACCACCATATCAACATCTCCAGGCGTATCTAACAGATATTTTCGGAGCTCCAATAAAATAATTGGATTTCATTAGATTATTTAATCTTATCTTGGCTAATTTTATCTTGCCAACCAAACGGGGCCCTAGCGTATTGGTTAAAATCAATTAAACTGATTAGTTGCAACATATAAACTTAGAGACAAACTGCATTATTTTTACCCAATAACAAAAAAACAGTAAATTGCTCACATCCACACACAAACACAAACACATTTACCTGTTGGCCTGTTTGACCGAAGTGGAAATATTTGACTATACGAAGAAGAATAAGAGTAGAGGTTAAGAAAATCGAGATGAAATGGAGCTACTTACGGGGATCGATTCTAGGACATCAAAAGATCCATGTAATGCAGCTTTGCCCTCCACAAATAGTAAAAAATCTCTAACTCAAATAACCTTGTGATAAAATATCCATGGTAAAGTCTGATCCAGCCCAGCAGAAGTAGTAGAAATAATGCATATCTGAAATAGAGTTTCAATCGACGAATATAAAAAACAGAAATCAAGACAAAATTAATTCAACACGATAAATTAAATGGAATTTCCGTTAGCGGTGCCTCAATCCCCAATCCCCATATTGAAACCGAAGTACATAACAAAACAAAAAGGAAAACTGGAGGCATAGGCTGCAACATGCTGAGCTGTAAAACGGCTAGTATCGACTTTACAAGTTTTAATATAAAATTACAATAAGAACATATATAATAAATACTCCAATAGTGATGGTAAGATTGCAACAAATCGACACGCGATAAAGACTTTTTCAAAGTAAATTCAGCTCACTACCTCTTGTCTTGTTTTACAGATATTTAATTTTGAACTGTAATTCCGAGAATCGAGTATTTCTTATGAACTCAATTCCAATTTCCTATTTTTTTTTTGGTCAATTTCTAATTTCGGTGCTTGATTCATAACAATTACAGCTGAAACGAGAAAAAAAAATTAACGAGATGCATAAAAAGCCCAAAAGAATATGTCACACCCAATTTACTCGTACAAAAACATATGGCATAAATACACACTACACAGAAATTTAGAAATGACCCGAAATTGAACCTCCACTCCCTGTTGTAAGAAATTGAAGAGCTCTTGGTTAATGGTACGAGCAATTGGAGAAGAAATGCGAGCAACAATAGAGAAACGAAGAGGATCAAACTGGGTCTTCGGAGAGCTCCGAATAGACCCGCCATTTTAGAGTGGGTCTATGTTTTTTACATGGAGAAGAGTGTGTCTCTGTGTGCGTGCGTGTGTCTGAGAGAGAGAGAGAGAGAGAGAGAGAGAGAGAGAGAGGAGGGGGAAGGGGGAGAAAGAAAATGGCGCCAATTCGTTCTGCTTACAATTGAAAAAAGGCTTACAATTGAAAAAAAATGGTACAAATACGGGTAATTGGCATTTTGCACCCTGCGATTATGCTCATTTGGCATTTTGCACACTTAAATTAAAAGTATGACAGATTGCACCCTGAAATTAAGATTTACTTGGCATAGTACACCTCGTTACCTAAAAGTAGTAGAATAAAAGGATATCGGGAGAACTGAAAGGGTAAATTTGTAAATAAATTCACTACCAATATTTTTAATTACAAAAAATATTCATATCCTTCCTCGTTCACAGATGTAATTAACAATAATTGACCATTTTGCCCATTGAATTATGGTAAACTCATTTTTTCAGAGACGAATTGTAGCAGAAAAGTGTCTTGGCGTGTAATGTGCCTAGCAAATCTTAATTTGAGAGTACTATCTCCCATATTTTTAATTTAAAGGTGCAACGTGTCAAATCAGTATAATTGCAAGGTGTAAAATGCCAATTACCCTACAAATACCCTCTAATTACTATAGTTAGGGGTAACTGGCATTTTGCACCCTCTAATTAATCTTGTTCGACACTTTGCTCCCTAGAATTGAAAATTTAGCTGATAACATCCTTCAATTAAATTTTTTTTTGGCATAATCCACCCAGGTGGCTAAATTTTGCTAGATAAAAAGGTATTTTACTTGAATTAAAAGGGTTAAACGGCCACAATTCCCTTTCATCTTTAAATGAAAAAAACATTCCCACTCTTTCATCTTATTTGTTCACTCGCAAAATAAAGTAAATAAATAAATAATCCAATTTTTACCAAATTAATTGTTCTCCTTTTTCTTTCTTCGTATCTAAAATCATCAAATATTAACAAGAGTGAAGAAGCAGTTTGTCCCTACTAAGCACTTTACTTCCCTAAGTTCGGGTGAGTTGTGTGAATTTGGGGGGAAACACTTTATTAGAATAAAGAGGGTCGTAGTTTTGACATGTGAACCCTTCTAAAAAATTAGAAAAGAAATTACAAGGGTATTTTAGACATTAACTATTTCCCGCTAACTTTTAACGGGTAGACTGACAGGTGTTATATTGTGAAAACCCCAAGGGGTTCGGTAAAAGGTCTAAATTGAAGTGCAACAAGTTGAAACCACAAGGCGGTAAAGTGCAATTTACCCTTTTATATTTTAGGCGACTAAAAATTAGAATTTTCGAACAACGACGATTTTGATTTGAATATTTCTTGGAATTTCGATTTTTTTTGTACGAAATTAGAATTAGTTTTTTTACTTTGGCAAAAAATATATTTTTCATAAAGTACTGATTTCGATTTGATATTCCGTTTGGTCTTCACCCCTCCAATAGAGGTCTAAACGAGTTGAGTCAAGCCGAACACATGATTATTCAATCTTATTTGAATTGTTATCGATCTTTTAGAGTTGTGTTTAAGCTTATTTGATATGCAATTGAGCTGAGATCAAATGAGTTACACACACACACACACACACACACACACACATACGAGCTAAAGTGAACTTTAATCGAGATGAACACGAATCGATAGTAGCTTGTTTCCTAGTACATATATACATATGTATATATTTTTAATTGGGTTTAAGCCGAACCTCACGGATTATGAACAAAATACTCGTTCGAGTTTGTTTCGTTATGTTAACAAATCAAACTGAAACAAGTTCTTTTTTTAATAAACGATCAGAAATTGTGTATCAAGTAGTTTAATTCGACTTTCAACCTTATTTATATATCAAATTAATTATTCATTTTGTGTATAACATAAAAAGGCTGTTATTAATTTATTATTTTATGGGTAAAAAATTACAACCACCCCTAATGTATGGTCAAATTACGAAAAAAATCTCTCCTGTTTGGACAATTATATTTATTCCCTCAACTATGAATTTTCTTACATCTCCACCTTTATGGTGTCAAATTCAACATAATCATGTAGATTCCCTTGAATGTTGTCTAGTTTGTACTCGTTTTGTGCAAAAATAAAGTTTCTGATGCATCACAATTTGATATATACAAGCCAAAAAACACATCTTATGATCATCTAACTTCAAAATGTGGAGCTCGAATGGGATAAAACGGATCCAAAGAATATTCCATATAATCTTAAAGATTCCACAAAATTTGAAACCCCAAGAATTGGACGTGTAAGACGATTTATAGTTGAGGGGTGGTTGTAATTACCCAAACAGGAGGGGATTTTCGTAATTTGACCATAACTCAGGGGTAGTTGTAATTTACCCTTATATTATTAATATTATTTTATTTTTATGTTATTAATTTATTATATTATATATTAAATATTTTGTCCATACTTATGTATATAGACTATATAAAAAAGGTAAATTATGAAGCCCCTGAACTTAGGCTAAATAACGAAAAATACCCCCGTCTATCCGTAATAACTAAAATCCCGATTAACTGGTGGTTGAATTTTTTAACAGAAAATGTGTACATTCTATTATACCTTCTGTTAAATAGGTGAAAAATAAAAGAAAATATCCGTGTAAATTCTGTTCCCTGGAATAAAAAAAAAATCCGTAAAAAGTCACACTGTAAGGGGTTGTTGTAAAACGGAAATAAATCTCATGGATTTCTTGGTAACTACGAATAAGTGGAGGTGGTTTTTGCAATTTAATCTAAATTTAGGGGGTTTTCGTAATTTACCCTATAAAAAATGCAGACAGATATCTAGAAGGCAATAAATATATGCAAGACTAAATTTACTAAGTGCAAGACCTTACTTGATGCAAGACCAAAATATAAATAAACTTACTAAGAGCAAGACTGAAAATTACAAATATAACCCCAATATTGATTTTGATACTACTCATTTAAATTAGACATAATTACTATTGCAAGACCAACAAGAAAAAAAAAGGAAAAAAAATAAAAATAAAGGAGAAATTGAAAAAACGAGAGAGAAGAAGAAGAAGGAGAAGAAGAAGAAGGAGAAGAAGGAGAAGGAGGAAGAGGAGGAAGAGGAGGAGGAAGAGGAAGATGAGGAGAAAGAAGAAGAAGAAGAAGAAGAAGAAGAAGGAGGAGGAAGAGAAGAAGAAGCAGAAGGAGAAGGAGGAGGAGGAGGAGGAGGAGGAGAAGAAGAAGAAGAAGAAGAAGAAGAAGAAGAAGAAGAAAATTCGAAGAAGAAGAAGAAGAAGAATAAGAAGAAGAAGAAAATTCGACCTGTACATGTTGATTTTTCGGGGAAAAGTCGACATTTAAATGTCGATTTTTTGGCAAAAATCTAGATGTTAATATTTTGGCGAAAAATCGACATGCAGATGTCGAATTTTGTCACAAAATTCGACATGTATATGTCGATTTTTGTCACAAAAATCGACATCTAGAGTTCATGTCGATTTTTTGCTAAAAAATCAACATCTAAATGTCGAATTTTGTGACAAAATTCGACATGTCAATGTCGAATTTTGACTGTGCGAATTTTCTTTTTGAAAACTTAAAAATCGATCACTTAACTATTAAACTACATTTATTCATAGTTTGTTTTCTATTTTTTATATAGAATTCTCCATATTGATATCTCGTGACTCCATAATGTTATCATTTGCATGTTTTAGTAAGATTTGATTGTTTTGAGTGTAGAGGATTTTTGGAGAAGATGAATTTTTTTTTTTGACAATTTATGTGAAATGGGTTTGTGAGAAAGATGAAATGGGTTTTGCTTGTGGGGTCTTGCACAAAGGAAGTTGTGGAATTTTGTAATTATGGATTTTGTATTTTAATAAGGTTATAATAGTCTTTTAGTAATTCATTTGGTGAAAAATTAGATTTGGTGTTCCACTAAGTAATTTTTGTGATTGCATATAGTCGCCGTCTAGATCCTATCTAGAAAGATGAAGACAGCTAGAGGCCAATACTAAATTGACCCGTGTCCAGTTCTATCACCGTTTACAAATACTGGCTGTACAGGATCATACCCTCGTTGTGCTTTATTGCCTTCTTCCGAAAATAAGGAGTATATATCGTGTATATACATCATTTAGGCATATACACACAACAATGTATGTGTGAGCAACGCACTTGTTCTATGTGTATCTAGAGTGTAAATCAGAGGGTTTCGCCATTCTAGGGTTCGCAAGGAGGATTATTAATTTGTAAATTGTATATATATATTTTATATCAGTTAATCTCTTTCTAGGGTTTTTTTTTTTCTTTTTCTCGCCGTAGTCATTTTCGCAATTTCATCACAATGGCTGGCAAAAACGTGATCTCCGACGACGAAGGTAAAATTCTCACCCAAATGCAGCGAAGTATTTCAAATTTACTCGATTTTGTGCTGAAAATCGGGTGTATTTGTGGCAATCTCTTTTCACAGATGAGATTGGAGGTGAAGAAGAAGAGAGAGACGAAGAGCCCTATGGAGACCAAACTGATGAACGCGGGGACGATGAAGATGAAGAAGAAGATGGTCAGTACAATTTTTGCCCGAAAAAAATTGCATGTGTAATTTGATTTATTTTGATGTTGATTTTTATGTGTTTTTATTGTTAAGGGCTTCTAGTATTTTAGGGTTCTGTTTTGTCTTTGCTTTTATGTTTAGGAGAGAATTATTTCCGGAAGAAATGCGATTTGTTTCAGTCTGCGGTGGGAGACAAATTGTGGTATTCTAGTGCATGCGATAAACTTTACCGCATTGAGCTTTATGTTTTTCTGTGTCTGAAAAGGACGTGGTTCTCCAACTCTTCTCGAGCTGGTTTAAACATATGACCACCGTGTTTAGCAACCCGACACCTTCCTCTTGTCTATTTGGGCTGTATTTTTATTTTACTATACAATGGATTTATTTGTTGTCAATTGTGTGTATGTTCTTTTTGTTTCTATGCATACTGGAGTCTTGTTGTAGCCCACTGGAGTATTGATGACTTTTCTAATTGTGATAATTCATGCTTAAGATCTATAGCAAAAATGGGTTATGAGTTCTATTGTCTTGGAATATTTTCCTCAAGCAGACAGTTGTACTTTTTATGTACATTGTAGAGAACTTAGTTAATTGCATTTTGGCATATAAAATCACTTGTTTTCATTTCTATTTGTTTTTTTTCTTCTGTGATTGATGGGAACTGCTGGTTTGAGTAGAAGAAGGACAAGATGAATATGAGAAGGATGGTTTTATCGTGGATGAAGAAGAAGACGAGGAGGAAGAAGATAGACTTGATAGTGACGATGAGAAGCAGAAGAAAAAGAAAAGGAAAAAAAGGTTTTTCCTTATATTCTCACTTGTCATGATCTTTTGTTGCTTGGCTTTTTTCATGTTAATAAAACTTCAATTAATGTAGAAAAATATGATACATGTCCTCATAATGATTGATTTTATGAACTATAGAGAGTCAGAGAGGAACTATGTCCTGGACGAGGATGATTATGAACTCCTTCAGGAAAGCAACATCTCTGTTCATCGTCCGAAAGCTGTAAGTTTCTACACTTATCCTGTGTTCTGTCATTTTTGTGGCATTTGCACTTCTTTTAGTTGAGTTTGGCATTTGATTGACCATTGATGTCTGTTGGCCTGTGATATGTATTAGGAAAGCAAGAAGTTTAAGCGACTGAAAAAGGGTCGGGGTGATACAGAAGAAGGGCCTTCTGGACTTTCAGATGATGAGAAGTTTGATGGAAGTGGAAAAGGCGGGCGTACAGATGAGGAGAAGCTTAAGCGCACCTTATTTGATGATGATGGTAAGTTCTGTTGGAATTTTCTTCTCAAGTCACAGGATGTGAAATAGTCGTTTTCTCGTTAATGGTCATGGGTTTTCCTTAAACTAATGTAGGGCAACAGCTCGAGGATATTGCGGAGGAGGATGAACAGTTGGAAGAAGAGGATACATACGTCAACGAAGATGATGACATGGCAGATTTTATTGTTGACGAAGAAGAAGTCGATGAGCATGGAGCTCCTGTGAGGTATATCTTACACATCAACGCCTGAGATATGTAGATCTTGTTTTAGTGTTGTAATGTAAATATGCATCGATGTTTCTGTATCCAGGAGGAAGAAACCTAAGAAGAGCAGGCAACGACCAGGAATTTCTTCATCTGCACTTCAGGAGGCACACGAAATATTTGGTGATGTTGAAGACCTCTTGAGGCTACGCAAGTTGGAAGTTAGGGACAAGTTTGATGAAACTCATGAAGGGAACCTTGAAGATCAGTTTGATCCTAGCATACTTTCTGAGAAGTATATGACGGAAAAGGATAACGAGATTCGGAAATTAGATGTTCCTGAAAGAATGCAGGTTTGTCGTGCATCTTGTTGAAATTTTTGTCATCTTCAATACATAGGTTGTAATTGTTTATTTATTGTTTACCCTTTGTTTTAGACATCGCAGGAAAGTTCTAGCCATCTCCTGACGGATGAGATTAGTATCAAAATGGAGACGGAGTGGATATACAACCAGCTCGTAACTGGTACAGTACCTTGGTTTAACAAGAGCAGTGCCATGACCGAAGAAGGAGATGATGAAATGAAGCACCACATAGCAAGATTTCTTGACTTAATGCATGTTCAGAAGTTAGATGTATGTTTTTGTTTCTCATAAATTGGTTCTCTATGTCATGATGTGTAAAGGAACTTCCCTATTTGATATTAAACTGTTATCTATGTCCCAGGTTCCATTCATTGCTATGTACCGGAAAGAGGAGATCTTGAGCCTATTAAAGAATCCAAATGAGCCTGAAGCTGACGATCCTAACCAGAAGCCTACGCTTAAGTGGCACAAGGTGGTCTTTTTAAATTGAATTCTGCGTGCGTGTAACTATATTCGGAATTTTGTTTTTTACACTATTTTCCATTCGTTTTTCAGTGGTATATTATTTCTAGTCAAATGAGCATTCCTTGCTGCATTACCATATAACTAAATTTTAGCTTAAAATTGTACTTCCATCCTAACCAGAAACCCAAGCTTAAGTGGCAGAAGGTGGTCTTTTGAATTGGATTCTGCTTTATGTGCAACTATGTTGCGAACTTTGTTTTTACAGTTCTTCCATCGGTGTTTCTGTGGTAGTAAAATCTTCCAGTCAAATGATTTTTTTTCTTCTATTGTGTAAAAGTTGTTTAACTGAGTTGCTTGTTTGCTATGAAGAACTTGTGAAGGTAGAGATTTCCTTCTTATGGTACCATATAGCTAAATGTTTAGCTTAAAGTAGTCTAACTTAGGAAAAGTTTGATTTGAAAACCTTATGTTGACTTATCTGGCTCAAGGTGACTGAGGAGAATCCATATTGAAAGGAGGGTTGTTTTGCAGGTGCTTTGGACAATCCAGGACTTGGATCAGAAGTGGCTTCTTCTTCAGAAAAGAAAGAGTGCACTCCAGTCATACTATAAGCAGTTCAAAGAAGAGTCTGAGAAAGTAAATGACTGGGAGACACACCGCAGTTTAAATCAACAGCTATTTCAATCTATCATTAAGTCGCTCAAAGCTGCTGATTCAGAACGAGAAGTTGATGATGTTGAATTGAAATTTAATTTGCACTGCCCCCCGGGCGAAGTTGTTCTAGGCGGAGGGCAGTATAAGAGGCCAAAGAGGAAATCTCATTACAGCATTTGCAGTAAAGCTGGATTAGGAGAAGTTGCAAGCAAATTTGGCTACAGCTCCGAACAATTTGGGTTGCAGATTTCTCTAGAGAAAATGGTAGATTTAATTTACTTTAGTTTCTAACTGGCCTTGTTATAAGATTTAGATTAACCGAGTTGGAGTTGTGTTTTTCGCAGAGGATGGATGAATTGGAGGATGCGAAGGAAACACCAGAGGAAATGGCTTCCAATTTCACTTGTGCAATGTTCGAGACACCTGAAGCTGTGTTGAACGGTGCGAGGCACATGGTATGTGAAAGTTACTGACTCATTCTTGTACTTTGGATATTTTAATATGGTGTTCAATTGTACTGGCTAACTTTATAAAATCAATAATAAATCCAGGCATCAGTTGAGATCAGTTGTGAACCATGTGTTCGGAAGCATGTCCGAAGTATCTTTATGGATAATGCCGTGGTGTCAACTAGTCCCACACCTGATGGAAACACAGCTATTGATTCTTTTCACCAGTTTGCTGGAGTGAAGTGGTTGCGGGAAAAACCACTTTCCAGATTTGAGGACGCACAATGGCTTCTAATCCAGAAAGCAGAAGAGGAGAAGCTCTTGCAGGTTACAATCAAGCTGCCGGAAGTAGTCCTTGATAAGTTAATAAACGATTCGAAAGATTATTATTTGAGTGACGGTGTTAGTAAATCCGCTCAATTGTGGAACGAGCAGAGAACTCTGATAGTTCGTGATGCATTCGACAAATTCCTTCTGCCTTCAATGACAAAGGAAGCGAGATCATTGTTGAATAGTAGGGCAAAATCGTGGTTACTCTTGGATTACGGAAAGCTGTTGTGGGATAAAGTGTCTGTTGCACCATACCAGAGGAAAGAAACTGATGTCAGTTCAGATGAAGAAACTGCACCCAGGGTTATGGCTTGCTGTTGGGGCCCTGGCAAGCCAGCTACTACTTTCGTAATGTTGGATTCATCTGGAGAAGTATTAGATGTACTTCATGCTGGTTCGCTCAGTCTTCGTGGTCAAAGTGTTGATGAACAGCAACGGAAGAAAAATGATCAGCAGCGAGTGCAAAAATTTATGATGGACCACCAGCCACATATCGTCGTTCTAGGAGCAGCTAATTTGTCTTGTACGCGGCTGAAGGAGGATATTTACGAGGTATTAATAAATAAATAAAATCTCTTTTACATATTTCTTGAACTACTATGTCTTCTTGCACTGTAAGCATGAAATTTTATGTGACTTTTTGTTCTTCTATCCACATCCTTCATCAGATCATCTTCAAGATGGTGGAAGATAATCCTAGAGATGTTGGCCATGAGATGGATAACTTGAATATTGTCTATGGTGATGAATCTCTCCCACATCTATATGAAAATTCTCGCATATCAGTTGATCAACTTCCTTCTCAAGAAGGTATGTCCTGTATTCATCTATTCTATATTTTCTGCTATCCATAATTCCCTGTATGCTATTTTTTTTCCACGAAATGTATTTAGATATATTTTATGCAATATAACTGTGGTGATTTATTTTAGGGATAATTAGGCGTGCTGTGGCCCTTGGACGATATCTTCAGAATCCACTATCCATGGTTGCCACATTGTGTGGACCAGGAAGGGAGATATTATCTTGGAAACTTAATCCTTTGGAGAACTTTCTCACTCCCGATGAAAAGTATGGGATGGTTGAACAAGTTATGGTGGATGTAACGAACCAAGTAGGTCTTGATCTTAATTTGGCTTCCAGTCATGAATGGTTGTTCGCACCTCTCCAGTTTATCTCTGGGCTTGGACCAAGGAAAGCAGCTTTTTTACAAAGGTCTCTAGTAAGAATAGGAACCATTTTCACTAGGAAAGACTTGTTAACATCCCATGGTCTAGGTAAAAAGGTGTTTATCAATGCTGTTGGATTCTTGCGAGTCCGACGGAGCGGATTGACTTCAAGTAGTAGTCAATTTATTGATTTGCTAGACGACACACGAATACATCCAGAATCGTACAGCCTTGCAAAAGATTTGGCTAAGGATATTTACTGGGAGGATGGAAATGATGATGCAAATGACGACGAGGATGTGCTGGAAATGGCTATTGAGCATGTCAGAGAGAAGCCTCACTTATTAAAAGCTGTGGATGTTCGTGAATATGCTGGGCAGAAAAACCGCCTGAACAAAAAGGAAACCCTTAATGATATAAGATTGGAGTTGATGGAAGGCTTTCAGGATAGGCGGAGACCATACATTGAACCAAGTCAAGACGATGAATTTTACATGATTTCAGGAGAGACTGAAGAAGCAGTTTCCGATGGAAGAATTGTGCAAGCAACAGTACGCAGGGTGCAACCTCAGAGAGCGATTTGTGTCCTTGAATCTGGATTGACTGGCATGCTTAGTAAGGAAGATTACACAGATGATTGGAGGGATATCAATGAATTGACTGATAAGCTGCGTGAAGGTGATACTTTGACTTGCAAAATCAAATCGATTCAGAAGAATCGCTATCAGGTGTTTTTGACCTGTAGAGAAAGTGAAATGAGGAACAACCGTTCCCAGAACTACCGGAGTATAGATCCTTACTATCATGAAGAACGGAGCGCCTTACCCACTGCACAAGAAAAAGCTAGGAAAGAGAAGGAGCTAGCAAAGAAGCATTTTAAGCCGAGGATGATTGTTCACCCTCGCTTCCGGAATTTTACAGTTGATGAAGCAATAGAGGTTTGTTCTCATCTTTTACTCGGTTCTATTGTCATTCACTTGTGAGGTCTGCATGTTTTTGAATGTTGATATTTGATTGGATGCATGATTGTTTTTTCCATAGGCTGGAGAAAGTTGATTATGCCCTGAATTATGCTATACACTAAATCACACTTCTATTGTTGTTTGAAGACCTCCGCATGTCACTTATATTTTCTTATTCGATGCTTCTTTTCATCTGGAAAACTAAGCAGTGGATCCCATCTGGACCTCGATACTTTTTTTTGCAAAAGATATATAATTCGAATAGAGGTTCTTCATGCTCGTTCTTTTTTTTTTTGTTTGTTTACAGTTTTTGTCGGACAAGGATCCTGGTGAAAGTGTCATCCGACCGAGTTCTCGTGGACCTTCATTTTTGACATTGACATTGAAAGTTTATGATGGTGTATATGCTAACAAGGACATAGTTGAAGGTGGGAAAGAACACAAGGACATCACAAGCTTGCTTCGAATAGGGAAAACACTGAAAATTGGAGAGGATACATTTGAAGACCTTGATGAGGTAATTGGATAGATGCATATAGCTTTTAATTTGGTGAACCGACTCTTTGTTGTTTAGACATTTAACTCTGGATGGCTTTGAACTTGCAAAAAGTTATTAATTTGGTAAACCGACTCTTCATTGTTGACTCTTACAAAAGGCAGGAAAATGAAAAAAATAAAAAAGCTTTGATTTCCTGCATATCTTGTTCTATCTCAAAATGTGCGACTGTTCTTGTTTGAGATAATTATGTGTCCATGTTTCTGATGTGGTGTCTTGCTCTCGATAAGCCAATTATATATTCATACCGCAATTGAATCTTGAAATTAGAATTATTGTCGTCTCTTTAAATATACTGTTACATCAGTGTGTAAATTTTGATCTCATCTAAAAAAAAAGGAAGAATTGTTTCCCATTGCCTGACGAGAATCTAAACCATCCCATTTTCCGTATTCAGGTAATGGATCGTTATATAGATCCACTGGTAACTCATTTGAAGGGAATGCTTAATTACCGCAAGTTCAGGAAGGGTTCAAAGACTGAAGTTGATGAGCTTCTCAAGATTGAAAAAGCTGAGAATCCGATGAGAATCGTGTACTGCTTTGGAATATGTCACGAACATCCTGGAACATTTATCCTGACTTACATACGAAGCTCTAATCCACATCACGAGTACATAGGTCTGTACCCAAAGGGATTGAAGTTCCGAAAACGAATGTTTGAGGATATAGACCGCCTTGTGGCTTATTTTCAGAGGCATATTGATGATCCATTCGATTCTGCACCGTCGATTCGTTCAGTTGCTGCTATGGTGCCAATGAGGAGTCCTGCACCTGGTGGCGGTGGCTGGGGTGGTTCATCCAACGACAGAGATAGGAGTTCTGGTCCTAGAGCAGGTGCTTGCTTGCCTTTTTTTTTTTTTTTTTTTTTTCTTTTTTCTTGGTACTGTAACAGTTTAATTTTTCTTTTCTAATTAGAGAACTCGACTTGTTTAGAATATCCGATTAAGAAGCTGACATCTGAGCTTATACAAATGTATTCTTGATTGGATAGTGATTTCAGTTTTAGTTGAACTATGAGTCTAATATGGTGCTTGTTACAGGGAGAGGTGACTACAGAAACGATGATGGCAACTCTGGTGGTAGGGGGCGTGGACGTGGGCGTGGAAGAGGACGGGGGGACAGGCAGGACTCGGAACGCGGTTCGCAAAAGTGGGGCCAAAAAGATGACGATAATGGAGGAGGATGGGGGAGCTTTCCTGGAGCTAAAGTTCAGAATTCACCGGGTAGGGACATATTCCCCGGTAATTGGAGTGGTGATGGTAATGGCAACGGTACTAATGGTGGCGGTGGCGGTGGCGGCAGTGGTTGGGGTAAGTGGGGGGGACAGGTGGACGGTGGTGATGCTTCTGATAAAGTTGCTGATGCTGGAAATTCAGATTGGGGTGGTGGAGGTGGTGGCGGCGCTAGCAAGAGGGGGGGTGGCGGCGGTAGTGGTGGTGGTGGTGGTGGCGGCAGTGGCAGTGGTTGGGGTAAGTGGGGGGCAGAGGTGGACGGTGGTAATGCTTCTGATAAAGGTGTGGATGCTGGAAATTCAGGTTGGGGTGGCGGTGGTGGTGGTGGTAGCAAGAAGGCTGATGATGGCGGGGGTGGTGGAGGTTGGTGATTTGTAACTTTTGTTGGAAACTGAATGCTCTACTAAATCACATAGTTCCGTGTATCGAACCCTGATTTCGAATTTATACTATATCAGTACGGTGCTATGAATGAATATTTTATCGTAACCTGTTTTTGGTGTCGATAATACTGATTAAGGCTAACGAGGCTGTTTAAGTTATTTTGTTGAAGTTAATTTGGGACCATGATTATTGTGTTTCATTTTTTTCGAGGGAGGTTTGTTTTTATGCTCGCTCACATATGATATGATAATTGTATATTCACTAGTTAGTATACAATTATATTAATGCATGATACTAAATAAGCCAAAATCTAATGTGAGTAGGAAAACACTATCTTTTTAGCTGATATGAAATGCGACTATATTGTGCAAATACACCGTATTGATCAATTTCAAATTAAAACTACGACAAATTGGTAATTTGCCCTAAAACTAATCATGTTTTGATATTAAGATAGTACGTACTACGTAGCACAAATGCACAATTAAATTGAATATATTTTCAATTTTCTGAATCATGATAGAGTAATGATAAACAATTTATGGGATCAAAATTGAGAGACCAAAAAAGTGAAACATGTCGTGCTAAACAATGCATATTCAATAGGATTTAAATATAACGTGATTGAAAAGATAAATATTCATTATCTCTACTTAGCTCCATTTATTTCAACCTAAGTGTGAAAATCGGATATACTGAATCGGAATTAGTACTTTCAATGTTCAAAAGGCCAATACGCACTGGTTATCTCGACGCTGAGGAACCGAACTCATTTCGATCCTTTCATCACGGTTAGCATTATTCGAACCAGACGAACAAAAAAACTGCCGTAAGAAAGACCAACGCCTCCGCCTATGATCCCGTCTGCCAGTTGTCGATCCCTGATTGGTCGGCAGCTCTTGCCTGCAAACGGGGCACGAGCTCCTCTGTTCCAACCAAGGCACAATACAATCCGAGTGGTACAAATAAATGCCCGCATGGCAGTTTTCTCACTCTAGATCCCAACTCGAATCTCTCTTTACACACAGCACATGTGGAATCTGCACGCACGTGTTTTTTCGAAATCTTTGTCATAGGCAAATTATCAATTAAGGATCTCGAAGCTGGTGGAGGAACATTATTATGATGATTGTCGACTTGTTCGAGAAAATCTTTGACGCCCGGTCCGATATAATAGTCGCGGGCCCCGTTTTCTCGTCTGAATCCGAGGTTTTCGATGAGGAACTCGAAAAGTCCGTTTATGCGTCCGCCGCATTTGCCTGGTTAGAGCAACTCCAATGATATATATTATAATTGAGTTATCAAATTTGATATTTGAGATGATACTTTAAATCTCATTTAAAGCCCATCTACTTTAATTATGGTTATCAAATAAAAAAATTCCGGTAATTTTATTTGTAATTGGCAGATGTCAATTTGCGAATGGATGATTACGTAGTTATTTTTTGATAACTCAGTATGCATGAAGTATTTTTAGATATAAAGAGATGAAATATCAAAATACTAATCCAAAATATTACGTGTTTTGAGTTAACTTTTAATAATAAAATTGGATCGAAAATTGAAATATCATATCTAATCCAGTTCCAATCCATAAAATTTTAAAAATCAGCAATTTTTTATTCCTAAATAAAAAATAGGGTAAATTACAACAACCCCTGAGGTATGGTCAATTTACGAAAAAAATCCATCTTGTTTCGATAATTACATCTACCCCTCATCTTGTTTTAGAGAATAAGTTGCTTCAAAACGTAGAGTACGAATGGGATAAAACGGGTACAAAAGTGATAATATTCCATATAATCTCGAAGACTCCACTAAATTTGAAACCGCAAGGGTAGACGTACGTGTAAGAAGATTTATAGTTGAGGGAGTGGTTGTAATTACCCAAACAAGGAGGAGGTTTTTGTAATTTGACCATACCTCAAGAGTGATCGTAATTTATCCTAAAAAAAATATTATTCCAAGAAAAACAAAATAATAAAAATAATATTAATCGACCATCCTATTCCAATCTCGAGTCAAACGGGTCAACAAATCCCAACACTAGTAGTATTAGTATTAGGACTTTAAAAAGAACGTAGGAGTCTTACGTACGTACGTCTCTATTGTTATATATATTAGGGTTTCAGAACCTACTTTCATATTATTTATTAGGTTTTAATTAAAAGCTTCTCTCTCTTCTTCGCTTTCTCCTCCAAGATTCAACCATGTCTGAAACAGGAAAAACCCTCGTCGACCAACAGGAAAAGTTTTATGTAAATTCTCTCTCTCTCTCTCTCTCTCTCTCTCTCTCTCTCTCTCTCTCTCTCTCTCTCTCTCTCTCTCTCTATCTCTCACACACACACACACACACATGTATATTTTGTGAGGAACATTTTTTTTTTCGTTACGTATTACTTCGAATTTTTTTAATTATTTATCTGCTATTGTACTCTATGATTATTGAAGATGGTTTTACTGATTTTAATGAATGTGAGTTTGTAATATAAATACACCGTCACGAGGTTTTCGAGACTATCTAAATGAATCCAAATTCAATATCAAACTTTTGTCCCTGTCGACAAAATTTTAAGCCTATGTTATGACTGTTTTTATTTGTAAATTTAAAGAATCCAATGGTATAATTAATTTTATCTTGGGAATACAAAAAACAAATTAAAATTAAAAATCGGCGTACGGTTAAATAGTGATTTAATTTAATGAGTTCTGTTGTTTGAATGCAGGAGGAGCCCGAGTACGCTTATGGTGTCAAGGATGGTGATGAAGATGGAAATATCTTCTCAGATGAAGAAGGTATAACTACCACCCGATTTAGTAGCTTGTATTTATAATCAAACTATTTAACCGATCTTTCTTTCGAGTTCCGAAACTGATTATGATTTTTTTTTTCCAAGTGTGCAAAATCGAAATTAGTTTGTGTTTCTTTTTTTTTTCTTTTTTTTTTTTTGTTTTAGTTTAGCAATCATCAAATTGGATCCGATTAGTGTTGCTTTCTTTAACTCACTCAAGCCGTTCGATTTAGGAGGCTGTATATCACGAACTCTCTACGGGATATACCGCTCGAAAACGTTGTCGATCGATAATGTAAATACGTGATATGGACTATATATATATATGTTCGGTAGTTTCTTTAGCATGCATGTTTGTAGTGAAGTAAATAGTGTAAATCATAAAAAAACACTCGGCTCTCTGAAGTAACTAAATCGTATAAATCATATAATATCGTTTGGCAGTGTCTGAAGATGGCGAATCGATCCAAACTCGAATCGAGCAGATATCAATGCTTAAAAAGGAGTTCATGTCAGGTGGGCAGCCGAGACTCGAAGAAATGATCCGTGTCAGACAACTCACGGATCTCCTGAATCTTGAAATGGCAATGCACAATCTTGATATGAAGCCCATGCCATGTGTCAGCCAAGTCACCATCAAGAGAATCAAAGATGTACGTTTTTTTTTCGTTCCGTTAAAAAAAAAAAAACTCCGTTTTTCACCACAAATTAATCCCTCACTCGTTTGTTCCTTTTTTTTTCTTTTCTATTCTTCCAACACGGGCATTTTTTTTTCTTTCTCTCAGACGAAGGTTGTCATATCGAATCCAACTGTTTACAAGGTCCCGAATTCAGACACGTACGTTATCTTAGGGAATGATGCACAAATCGAAAATTTGAGTTCGCTGTTGCAGCAGGCTATGGTTCGCCGTAATGCGAGTAATGATGTGGCGGAGAGTGAGTCTGAGTCAGACGAGAGCGGGTCAGACGAAGATGACGTGGACGAGAGCGAGTCAGATGATGTGGACGAGAGCGGTTCAGAAGAAGATGACGTGGACGAGCGCGGTTCAGAAGAAGAAGATGACGTGGACGAGAGTTGGTACGAGAACCTGAGTTGGTCGGAACAAGCGGATATAAAGATGGTTACGAATCTCACTGGGGTTTCGAAACGTAAAGCTGCTAAAGCTCTCAAGGAATTCGATGGAGATATTGTGACTGCTATTATGGAGCTCGACTCGAATTAGTTTTTTTTTTAACTTCCGAAAAAAGTTTATATTTTTGTTTTTTACTATACTCGATTTATCCGAACAAAGGCATTAAACACAGTAACCAACTCTTTTTTTTCCTTATATATATACACACACTTTCATCAAGGCTTACCCTGTACAACCATTTGTCTCTATTAAGAACAATTACGGAAATACGGTGCACGAACCGAAAAACCGTAAACGGCAATAAACATAAATAGTTCATGAACGACACTCACAAAGATAAAGGCTTGATAATTCGCCTGCAAAAAAAACACGTTTTTTTTTTCTTTATTTGTTCACATAGAATGACCAATAAAATCTAAGAACCAACCGAGAAAATCGAGCGAGAGCTTACTGATATTCGAAAGGCCAATATGAGTGTTCATTCGAACTGGTTATCTCGATGCTGAGGAACCCAACTCATTTCGACCATTTCATCACGGTTAGCATTATTCGAACCGGACGAACAAAAAAACTGCCGTAAGAAAGACCAATGCCTCCTCCTATGATCCCGTTTGCCAGCTGTCGATCCCTGATTGGTCGGCAGCTCTTGCCTGCAAACGGGGCAAGAGCTTCTCTGTTCCAACCAAGGCACGATACAATCCGAGTGGTACAAATAAATGCCCGCATGGCAGTTTTCTCACTCTAGATCTCAACTCGAATCTCTTTTTACACACAGCGCATGTGGAATCTGCACGCACGTGTTTTTTCGAAATCTTTGTCATAGGCAAGTTTTCGATTAAAGATCTCGAAGCTGGTGGAGGAACATTATTTTGATGATTGTCGAATTGTTCGAGAAATTCTTCGACGCCTGGTCCGATGAATTAGTCGCGGGCCCCGTTTTCTCGTCGGAACCGAGGTTTTCGTTGAGGAACTTGAAAAGTCCGTTTATGCGTCCGCCGCATTTGCTTGGTTAGTGATATATATTATAATTGTGTTTTCAAATTTATATTTGAGATGATACTTTAATTTTCATTTAAAGCTCATCTACTCTAATTACGGTTATCAAATAAAAAAATTCCGGTAATTTTATTTGTAATTGGCAGATGTCAATTTGCGAACAAATGATTACGTAGTTATTTTTTTGATAACTCAATCTGCATGAAGTATTTTTAGATACATAGAGATGAAATATCAAAATACTACTAATTCATTTGAATGGAATAGCATTTTCGAAAATTCATATTTCGTATTGAACGTGAAACATTTATTTCATGAATCCCTCCTTTAAAAAAATGGAGAAAAATAAATTGGAATTTGTAACATGGAATGAAAACATTGGTTCCAAACAAAAAAGGAATCGGATGCCGTGACAATTAGAAATTTATGGGATTTATGAGAAGAAGCTAAATATTTTTTGAATTAATTTTTAGGGCTCTTCGATATACCCCTCAATACTTCTTTTAATAGAGAAAAACTCAAATTATTTTGCACTATTTGAAAAAAACTCACACTAAATTTTAGCCACTCATTTTTCCATTTATGTCCCTCCACCTTACATATCCCCATGACCCAGCCGTGTGTCTCTCTTGTTTTTTTTTTATTTTTTTTATATTATTATTATTATTATTAATTTATTTTTAAATTTTTTATTTTTAAATTTTTTATATTATTATTTTTTTAATTTTTTTTCGTTTTTTAACTTTTTTTTCTCTATCAGGTATGTTAATTGACTATGGTGAACTATAGTCGATTAAGGAACCGGCACTAAAAATAACAAATCAAAACTACAAAAATGCAAACTCAACTGTATTTTACAAAAACAAACAATATACAAACATTATAATTGATTTATTCAATTGAAATCAATAAACAAAAAAATAAAAAATAAAATAAAAAATTGGAGTCAATGAAACATATTAATCGACTATGATGTAAAGCATAGTCGATTAAGAATCTGCTACTAAAAATAACAAATCACAACTGCGAGAAAATGCAAAATCAACTATATATTACAAAAACAAAAAATATATAAACATTATAAATTATTTATACAATTGGAATCAATAAACAAAAAATTCAAAAATAATTAAAAAATTTGGAATCGATGAACCTTAATCAACTACCAGAGCATAGTCGATTAGCTTAATCAACTATGAACATGTACATAATCGATTTAGGTATCAGCCTGCGCGAAATTATCTACAGGCACCGTCATCCGCCCAATCGACAAAAAACCCTAAATCTGTCTGTCCATCGTCACCACACCGCCGTCACAACACACCATCACCACCTTACTTTGACGTTATGACGGTTTTTTATTACAAATAAATAAATAAAATCACAACTCGCACCACCAACCAAAGCAGAACCACCACCCATCAAAATCCGATTCCGGCAACAAAACGACAATCTTACCTCTTTTCACCTCCGATGTAACAATCCTAGCATTCAGAATCGCTATCAAAATCATTTATAATGTTTGATGGGTGCTTCCTCTTCTTTCTTTCTCCATTTTCCGGCGGCGGCGGCGGAGAAGATTGCCGGAGAAAACAGAGGGAAAAAAAACAAAGAAGAAGAGAAAACAGAGAAGAAGAAAAAAGAGAGAAGGGGATAACTACAGTTTTGGTCCCCCAAGTTTGCACGTTTTTCATTTTTGGTCCCCCATTTACCATGATCACAATTGAACACATTTAGTCCCTCCGTCTGTTTGACCGTCAAAAAGTAACGGTCAACTGTTGAATTATGGCTGAATTTAGGATTTTTCATTGAGAAAATTGCACTCAGACCCCTGCATTCTTTTAAAATATTCTAAAAACCCCTAAAATATTATTCAACCCTAATTTAACCCCAATTTCATCATTTAATTAATTTTGACAAACGACCCCGAGTTTTACCACCATCACCATTGACCGTTGACCGCCGTTGATTTTTTTTTTACTTTTTCTTTTGGTATTGACTTTTTTTTAAAAAAACTGTTTTTTATGGTGCTCACCGTCATTGTATTCTCGGTTAACAATGTTGACTTTTTTTTTATTTTTTCTTGATTTTTTCTGAACTTTTTCCTGTGACTTTTTTTCTTCCGATCAACACAATATTATTACAGTATAACACAATAATAATACTATATTAATATCCAGGATCGTAATATTAAAATTATAAACTTCTAACAAAGTTTGTATCTAAAATTCTGGGGCCTAAATACAATTTTAAAAAATATTCTAAAATCCTTAATTTCTTCCCCTCAATTTTTTTTTCGTGGAACCGCCAGTGCATCTCAAATTTCTTCCCAAAAAAATGTAAAGAAGATAAATTAGGCATGTGCATAGTAATTTGGAAATGAGATAACCACTCTAGTATAACGGTTTTTGGGGCTAATTCCGGCCGTTAATTTTTATCTTTTTTTTTGTCTTAAACTTTTGCCGACATTGAGTGACATTGACTTTTTTTCTTTTTTCTTTTATTTTGACTTCTTTTATGATATTATTTTCTCGTCGGTTATCATCTTTAACTTTTTTTTAAATGATATTTTTCCACTACTCAACAATTTAAATAACAATCAAGAGAAAAAAATGTCATCATTGTTAACTCGACATTCAACATTAGTCAACAACGGCAAAAAAAATCAATCGAAAAAAGAGTCAACCGAGTTAAAAAGAAAGTCAACGTCAGATTACCCGATTTTGAAAATCGGGGTCAATCGTTAAAATTGGTTGATTGATGAAATAGGGGTTAAAATATGGTTGGATAAAATTTTAGAGGTTTTTAGAATATTTTGAAACAATACATGGGTCTTATTGTAATTTCTCAAAGAACCAAATTCAACCATAATTCAACCATTGACCGTTACTTCTTAACGGTCAAACAGACGGAGGGACTAAATGTGTTAAAATGTGACAACATTAGTGTGTGTTGTTGACGGCGGTAAATGGGGGACCAAAAGTGAAAAACGTGCAAACTTAGCGAACCAAAACTGTAATTATCCCGAGAAGAAGAGAAAAGCTGGAATGTTGAAAACGGCGGATGAAAAATTAAAAATAAGATTAGGGTTTTGAAAGAGTATAATAGACAATTAAGGATAGTTTTGGAATTATGAAAATATCACATGGATGGATATTAGCTAAGGGGGTTTTCTCTAATTATTTTTGGGATGTGATGTTTCCTTAACTATATTTCCTAGGTGGGGGGTTTTCTCAAATTTTCCCAAATTTTTAATAGTAAAATTGGATTGAAAATTGAAATATCATATCTAATACAGTTCCAATCCATAAAATTTTAAACAATCAGCAATAAGATGTTAGAGCTTATAAGCTCTTCCAAAGTGTTTGGTAAATTTTAAAAAAAAGATCTTATTTTTTTTTAAAATAAGCTGTTGGACAGCAAATAAGATCTTTTTAAAAAAAATACATCTACCACACCTTTTTGAGTAAAAATAGGAAATAAGCTTACTATCCAAACACTTTAAAAATTAGTCCTAAAAATAAAATGTTACAGCTTATTAGCTATAAAAACATCTTATCAGACGTAAGAACTTATCAATTGTTTAAAATAAACTTAGCAAAACACCCTCTAAAAATATTATTCCAAAGAAAAAATATAATAATAATATTCCAATCCCAAGTCAAACGGGTCAACAAACCCAAATACTATTAATATTAGTATTAGTATTAGGACTACGAGTCCTATGTACGTACGTCTCTATTGTTATATATATTAGGGTTTCAAAACCTACTTTCATCTTATTTATTTATTAGGTTTTAATTAAAAGATTCTCTCTCTTCTTCGCTTTCTCCTCCAAGATTCAACCATGTCTGAACAGGAAAAACCCTCGTCGACCAACAAAAGTTTTATGTAAATAATCTCTCTCTCTCTCTCACACACACACACACACACATGTATATTTTGTGAGGAATTGCGGTACTATAAATTATGAGATACTTTTTTTTTTTTCGTTAGGTATTACTTTGAATTTTTTTTTTTTTTTTTTTAATCTGCAATTCTACTCTATGATTATTGATGATGGTTTTACTGATTTTAATGAATGTGAGTTTGTAATTTTGAATACACCGTTACGAGGTTTTCGAGACTATCTAAATGAATCCAAATTATATTCAATTTCAAACTTTTGTCCTTGTCGACAAATTTTTACGTCTATGTTACGACTGTTTTTATTTGTAAATTTAAAGAATCCAATGGTATTAATTTTATCTTGGGACTACCAAAAAAAAAAAAGAATTAAAAATCGGTGTACGGTTAAATGGTGATTTGATGAGTTTTGTTGTTTGCATGCAGGAGGAGCCCGTGTACGCTTATGGTGTCGAGGATGGTGATGAAGATGAAAAAATTGTCTTAGATGAAGAAGGTATAATACTACCACCCGATTTAGGACCTTGTAGGCTTGTATTTTAAATAAAACTATTTAACCGATCTTTCTTTCGAGTTCCGAAACTGATTTATGATTTTTTTTTTCCAAGTGTGCAAAATCGAAATTAGTTTTTCTTTTTTTCTTTTTTTTTTTTTTTTTTATAGCAATCATCAAATTGGATCCGATTAGTGTTGCTTTCTTTAACTCACTCAAGCCGTTCGATTTAGGAGGTTGTATATCACGAACTCTCTGCGGGATATACAGCTCGAAAACGTTGTCGATAATGTAAATACGTGATATGGACTATATATATCTATGTTCGGTAGTTTCTTTAGCATGCATGTTTGTAGTGAAGTAAATAGTGTAAATCATAAAAAAACACTCGGCTCTCTGAAGTAACTAAATCGTATAAATCATATAATATCGTTTGGCAGTGTCTGAAGATGGCGAATCGATCCAAACTCGAATCGAGCAGATACCAATGCTTAAAATGGAGTCCATGCGAGATGGGCAGCCGAGCCTCGAAGACATGATCCGTGTCGCACAACTCAGGGATCTCCTGAGTCTTGAAAGGGCAATGCAGAATCTTGATAAGAAACCCATGCCATGTGTCAGCCAAGTCACCATCAAGAAAATCAAAGATGTACGTTTTTTTTCGTTCCGTTCCGTTTTTCACCACAAATTAATCCCTCACTCTTTTGTTCCTTTATTTTTTTTTTTCTATTCTTCCAACACGGGCATTTTTTTTTCTTTCTCTCAGACGAAGGTTGTCATATCGAATCCAACTGTTTTCAAGGTCCCGAATTCAGACACGTACATTATCTTAGGGAATGATGCACAGACCGGAAATTTGAGTTCGCTGTTGCAGCAACCTAGTGAGTCTGAGTCAGATGAGAGTGAGTCAGACGAAGATAGCGGGTCAGAAGAAGAAGATGATGTGGCGAATAGCGAGTCAGACGAAGTGGACGAGAGCGGGTCATCAGATGACGTGGACGAGAGCGAGTCAGAAGAAGATGGCGAGAACCTGAGTTGGTCGGAACAAGAGGATATAAAGCTGGTTGCGAATCACACTGGGGTTTCGAAACGTAAAGCTGCTAAAGCTCTCAAGGAATTCGATGGAGATATTGTCGCTGCTATTATGGAGCTCAACTCAAATTAGTTTTTTTTTTTACTTCCGAAAAAAGTTTATAGTTTTTTTTTACTCGACTCGATTGATCCGAACAAAGGCATTAAACACAGTAACCAACTCTTTTATTTTTCCTTATATACACACACTTTCATCAGGCTTACCCTGTACAACCATTTGCCTCTCTTAAGTACAATTACGGAAATACGGTGCACGAACCGAAAAACCGTAAACGACAATAAAAATAAATAGTTCACGAACGACACTCACAAAGATAAAGGCTTGATAAATTGCCTGCAAAAAAAACACTTTTTTTTTTTCTTTATTTGTTCTCACATCATACAAGGACAATAAAATCTCAGAACCAACCGAGAAAATCGAGCGAGAGCTTACTAATACTCGAAAGGCCAATACGAGTGTTCATCGAACTGGTTATCTCGATGCTGAGGAACCGGACTCATCACAACCCTTTCGTCACGGCTAGCATTATTCGAACCGGACGAACAAAAAAACTGACGCAAGAAAGACCAACGCCTCCGCCTATGATCCCGTTTGCCAGCTGTCGATCCCTGATTGGTCGGCAGCTCTTGCCTGCAAACGGGGCAAGAGCTTCTCTGTTCCAACCAAGGCACGATACAATCCGAGTGGTACAAATAAATGCCCGCATGGCAGTTTTCTCACTCTAGATCTCAACTCGAATCTCTCTTTACACACAGCGCATGTGGAATCTGCACGCACGTGTTTTTTCGAAATCTTTGTCATAGGCAAGTTTTCGATTAAAGATCTCGAAGCTGGTGGAGGAACATTATTTTGATGATTGTCGAATTGTTCGAGAAATTCTTCGACGCCCGGTCCGATGAAATAGTCGTGGCCCCGTTTTCTCGTCGGAATCTGAGGTTTTCGCAGAGGAACTCGAAAAGTCCGTTTATGCGTCCGCCCATTTGCTTGGTTAGAGCAACTCCAATTATATATAGGGCAAATGGCAAAAAGGCCCATCACATGGGACTTAAATGCACTTTAGTCCACAAAAAAAACAGTCTCTCAATTAAGCCCATCCCCATGTCTTTAGTCTAAAATACCCTCAATAATATAATTCTTAACAATTCCACCCATTATGCTCTAACTTCCTTAATATTACACATTGACCCAGGATTTAAACAAATATATCACATTAACCCCCAAAACTTTTTTTTTCCGGCTAGATTCCGGCGTTGACTTTTTTTTTTTTTTTTTCGAAATTTTTTTTTTTCCTGAATTTTTTTTCCGGTCGGTCAACCACCGTTGACCGCCGGTCTCCGGCGTTGACTTTTTTTTTTTTTTTAATTGTTTTTTCTTAGAAAAAAAATATTTTAATTAATATTACTGTCTTGACTACTAAATTACTGTCTCAGACAGTAATATTACTGTTTGGGACAGTAATATTATGAATATTATTTTTCCGAACAGTAATATTATTAATATTATTGTCTAAGACAGTTAAATTACTGTTGGCGACAGTAATTTAACATCCAAGACAGTAATATTAATTAAAACAAATTTTTTTGTAAGGAAAAAAATTAAAAAAAAAAAAAAAAAATCAATTAACAGTTAAATTACTGTCCCCGACAGTTAAATAACTGCTGGAGACAGTAATTTAGCAACGAATACAGTAATATTAATTAAAAATATTTTTTTTAAGAATAAAAAAGTCAATTAACAGTTAAATTACTGTCTCCGACAGTTAAATAACTGCTGGAGACAGTAATTTAGCAACGAATACAGTAATATTAATTAAAAATATTTTTTTTAAGAATAAAAAAGTCAATTAACAGTTAAATTATTGTCTCCGACAGTTAAATAACTGCTGGAGACAGTAATTTAGCAACAAATACAGTAATATTAATTAAAAATATTTTTGAAGAAAAAAAAAAACAGTCAATTAACAGTTAAATTACAGTCTTTGACAGTTAAATAGCTGCCGGAGACAGTAATTTAGCAGCCAAGACAGTAAAATTAATTAAAATATTTTTTTTAAGAAAAAACAAAATTATTAAAAAAAAAAAAAAAAAAAAAAAAGTCAACGCCGGAGACCCGGCGGTCAACGGCCGTTGACCGGCCGAAAAAAATTTTCAGGAAAACGAAAATTCAAAAAAAAAAAAAAAAAGTCAACGCCGGAATCTGGCCGGAAAAAAATATTTCAAAAAAAAAATTATTTTCTGAAAAAAAAAAAGTTTTGGGGGTTAATTTGATATATTTGTTTAAATCCGGGGTCAATGTGTAATATTTAAGAAGTTAGAGCATAATGGGTGGAATTGATAAGAATTAGGGTTAAATTGGGGTCAAAATTGAAATTAGGGTTAAAATTGGTTAATTGATGAAATTGGGCTAAATTGGGGTGTAAATCATGAAATTGGAGTTGAATTGAGTTTCAATGAATTGGGGGTAATTTTGGTATATATAAAGGGATTTTCCTTATTTGCAAATAAGTTTGAATGGGGTGGGTTTATTTGAAAAACAAAAAAGTTGGATGTCCCTTTTTTAATTAAGTGCCCTTGTCATGGGCCTATTTGCCATTACCCCTTATATATATATATATATATATATATATATATATATATATATATATATATATATATATATATATATATATATATATATTTGAGATGATACTTTAATTTTCATTTAAAGCTCATCTACTCTAATTACGGTTATCAAATGAAAAAATTCCGGTAATTTTATTTGTAATTGGCAGATGTCACGTAGTTATTTTTTTGATAACTCAATCTGCATGAAGTATTTTTTAGATACAAAGAAATGAAATATCAAAATACTACTAATACATTTTGAATTGGAATTAGTATTTTCGAAAATTAATATTTTGTAATTGGAAGTGAAAAAATAATTTCATGAATCGGGCCTTTAAAAAAATGGAGAAAAATAAATTGGAATTTGAAACATGGAATGAAAACATTGGTTCCAAACAAAAAAGGAATCGGAGGCCGTGACAATTAGAAATTTATGGGATTTATGGGAAGAAGCTAAATATTTTTTGAATTAATTTTTAATAGTAAAATCGGATCGAAAATTGAAATATTATATCTAATTCAAGTTCCAATCCATAAAATTTTAAAAATCAGCAATTCTTTTTTCTAAATTAAAAATATTGTTCTAAAAAAAAAACCCAAAACTATTAGTATTACTATTAGTATTAGGACTAGAGTCCCATGTACGTACGTCTCTATTGTTATATATATTTGTGTTTCAAAACCTACTTTCATCTTATTTACTTATTAGGTTTTAAAAGCTTCTCTCTCTTCTTCGCTTTCTCCTCCAAGATTCAATCATGTCTCAAACAGGAAAAACCCTCGTCGACCAACAGGAAAAGTTTCGTGTAAATAATCTCTCTCTCTCTCTCTCTCTCTCTCTCTCTCTCTCTCTCTCTCTCTCTCTCTCTCTCTCTCACACACACACACACACACACACATGTATATTATGTGAGGAATTGGCGCGGTACCATGAATTATGAGATACTTTGTTTTTTTTTTGTTACGTATTACTTTGAATTTTTTATTTTTTTTATTTTTATCTGCAATTCTACTCTATGATTATTGATGATGGTGTTACTGATTTTAATGAATGTGAGAGTTTGTAATTTAAATACACCGTCACGAGGTTTTCGAGACTACCTAAATGAATTCCAAATTCAATATCAAACTTGTCCTTGTCGACAAATTTTTAAGCCTATGTTACGACTGTTTTTATTTGTAAATTTAAAGAATCCAATGGCATTAATTTTATGTTGGGACTACAAAAAAAAAAAAAAAAAAAATCGGTGTACGGTTAAATGGTGATTTGATGAGTTTTGTTGTTTGCATGCAGGAGGAGCCCGAGTACGTAATGGTGTCGAGGATGGTGATGAAGATGGAAATATCTTCTTAGCTGAAGAAGGTATAACTACCACCCGATTTAGGACCTTGTATTTAAAATAAAACTATTTAACCGATATTTCTTTCGAGTTCCGAAACTGATTTATGATTTTTTTTTCCAAGTGTGCAAAACCGAAATTAGTTTTTTTTTTTTTATATGTTTTAGTTTAGCAATCATCAAATTGGATCCGATTAGTGTTGCTTTCTTTAACTCACTCAAGCCGTTCGATTTAGGAGGCTGTATATCACGAACTCTCTGTGGGATATACAGCTCGAAAACGTTGTCGATTTTGTGAATTTCACTAAAATGTAAATACGTGATATATATATATATATATATATATATATATATGTTCGGTAGTTTCTTTAGCATGCATGTTTGTAGTGAAGTAAATAGTGTAAATCATGAAAAAACACTAGGCTCTCTGAAGTAACTAAATCAAATAAATCATAATATCGTTTGGCAGTGTTTGAAGATGGCGAATGGATCCAAACTCGAATCGAGCCATCAATGATTAAACTGGAGTCCATGCCAGATGAGGAGCCGAGCGCCGAAGAAATGATCCGTGTCAGACAACTCGTGGATCTCCTGAATCTTGAAATGGCAATGCAGAATCTTGATATGAAGCCCGTGCCATGTGTCAGCCAAGTCACCATCAAGAAAACCAAAGATGTAGGTTTTTTTCGTTCCGTTTTTCACCACAAATTAATCCCTCACTCCGTTTGTTCCTTTTTTTTTTTCTATTCTTCCAACACGGGCATTTTTTTTTCTTTCTCTCAGACGAAGGTTGTCATATCGAATCCAACTGTTTTCAAGGTCCTGAATTCAGACACGTACGTTATCTTAGGGAATGATGCACAGACCGGAAATTTGAGTTCGTTGTTGCAGCAGCCTATGGTTCGTAAAGCGAGTAATGATGTGGCGGAGAGTGAGTCTGAGTCAGATGAGAGCGGGTCATCAGATGATGACGTGGACGAGAGCGGGTCATCAGATGATGTGGACGAGAGCGGGTCGTCAGATGACGTGGACGAGAGCGGGTCAGAAGAAGATGGGGAGAACCTGAGTTGGTACGAGAACCTGAGTTGGTCGGAACAAGAGGATATAAAGCTGGTTACGAATCACACTGGGGTTTCGAAACGTAAAGCTGCTAAAGCTCTCAAGGAATTCGATGGAGATATTGTCACTGCTATTATGGAGCTCAACTCAAATTAGTTTTTTTTTAACTTCCGAAAAAAGTTTATATGTTTTTTTTACTCGACTCGATTTATCCGAACAAAGGCATTAAACACAGTAACCAACTCTTTTTTCCCTTATATACACACACTTTCATCAGGCTTACCTTGTACAAATATTTGGCTCTCTTAAGTACAATTACGGAAATACGGTGCACGAAGCAAACCCGTAAACAAGATCTAATCCAACTACCGAGACAATAAACATAAATAGTTCACTAACGACACTCACAAAGATAAAGGCTTGATAATTCGCCTGCAAAAAACACGTTTTTTTTCTTTATTTGTTCACATACAAGGACAATAAAATATCAGAACCAACCGAGAAAATCGAGCGAGAGCTTACTAATATTCGAAAGGCCAATACGAGTGTTCATCGAACTGGTTATCTCGATGCTGAGGAACCGGACTCATTACAACCCTTTCGTCACGGCTAGCATTATTCGAACCAGACGAACAAAAAAACTGCCGCAAAAAGGACCAACGCCTCCTCCTTTGATCCCGTTTGCCAGCTGTCGATCCCTGATTGGTCGGCAGCTCTTGCCTGCAAACGGGGCAAGAGCTTCTCTGTTCCAACCAAGGCACGATACAATCCGAGTGGTACAAATGCCCGCATGGCAGTTTTCTCACTCTGGTTCCCAACTCGAATCTCTCTTTACACACAGCACATGTGGAATCTCCACGCACGTGTTTTTTCGAAATCTTTGTCATAGGCAAGTTTTCGATTAAAGATCTCGAAGCTGGTGGAGGAACATTATTTTGATGATTGTCGACTTGTTCAAGAAATTCTTCGACGCCCGGTCCGATGAAATAGTCGCGGGCCCCGTTTTCTCGTCGGAATCCGAGGTTTTCATTGAGGAACTCGAAAAGTCCGTTTATGCCGCCGCCGCCAGCTGGCGTCATCCTAGCTGGCGGCACGTCTCCGCTTGAAAATGAGGCACGAGTTGCCGTGGAGAGGGGCTTGATCGGGCATTCTTGCGGCCGGAGATTTGCTGTCTTAGGAAGTTGGAACCGAGTCCAGAAACTCGGTCTCTGTTGACTCTG